CGTCTCTTCCTTAGTATACCTAGTATAGTACAACGTGTCTTCCTTAGTATACCTAGTATAGTACCACGTGTCATCCTTAGTAAATCTAGTATAGTACCACATGTCTTCTTTAGTATACCTAGTATAGTATCACGTGTCTTTCTTAGTATACCTTGTATAGTATGACGTGTCTTTCTTAGTATACCTGGTGCAATTTACCAGAAAATAATTGACATATACTGCAGATGAAGGGTTATATGTTTAGATTTTTGAAGACAATTGGTACTTGTACACCAGAGAAACATTGGATATTGGAAAAAAAATAATTATTATTAGTAGTATTATAATACCATTGCCACATCATAGTTTAATCAGTATGCGACAGTGTGAATTTGATTAATGACATAATCGCAAATCACGAATCATACACATTTCAGATGAATCACCAATTGTTAATTCAGTGAGTGTTTGAGTTTAGATCTCAAGCGAATTCAATTACGCATAAGTATACAGATGTACGTCTTCTTACGTCCACGTCCACTTGTATACATACAAAGTCGGCAATATAGATATATCTATGATTAATTATTGTATATACACGCAATGACCCTAATAAACCTGTTCTGAATTGTTGAACCATATCTGGTAAATGAAAAATTAAATAGGGCTGGTAGGAAAACCACAGATGCTTGTATAGGTTAAAAGCACAATGTGTTTACGTTAATGATGCCATAATGATAATAAATGACATCCTCAAGCGGACAACAATGATCACACCCAAATATCTTGTAATTTATATGTTATTTGATTTCTTTGATGTTATTTCATCGCCGTCTAAACACATCAACAATGATTATACCGTCTAAAAAATCTATGTTATTAGTATTGAATTATTCTGTTTCCGTGAAGTGTAATAATAATAGTGAATATGTGTCGTTCCAAATGTATACAAGTATACTGAGTATTAGGTGTTACAGTGAGTTATAGTGAATTTAATTGGCAAATATAATTTTATAAATTACTTATTGTATGAATAGGTTATTTAATTAAACGCTGTGAAAGGGTTGGTGAGTTTTTAAACTTTATTAAATAATCGGTTTCATAAGCATTAACGGAGGAAATAGCTCCCATATGACGCAGAAACATTTGGAATAATCATTTTTTAAATACTCCGACGACTCTTTCATACTATTATTATAACATACGTGCACAAAAAAATACGCTACAACATAGCCGTTTACATAAGGTAGCCATGTGTAACTTACCAATTCGCAAATCACCTTTTCATGAATTATACTACTATGTAAGGATGCTGATAAAATACAATGTGATGATTATAAAAATATTTTCACTATATTGAGTTTTATTGTGACTGGAATTTAATTTTCATTTTT